TTCTATCTTTTTAAAAAGAAATAAATCATATTCCCCAAAATAACTAAAATAAGTTCAAAATATTATGAAAACATTTAGGCCCTAAAGAAATTAATTTTTAAAACACAAAGGGAAAATATATATAATTATTTATATTAAAGTTATTCAATTTTAATATAAAAATTCTACAATGAAATAATCTCAGTAAAGACAAAGGATGTATTTAATGCATCAAACTATTGTATATCAAATAAGAACTTACATTTTTAAATATAGCAAAAAAAAGAAATTATTAAATGAGATTAGGAATCTGGTAAATGTGTAACACAGTTTACAATGATCATTTGTATAAAACAGAGGCTTTATATTTTTAATTTGTCATTGTTCTAGTGAATAAATCAAACACTTGAAAACAGAAAATAAAAATTATGCGTTTTATACATTTTACTTCAATGGTCGATTGAAATTTTAATGAATATATATATATATGTGCATCCTTCAATCATTGGCAAATTGTGTTCTATAATAAAAGACTGTTAAGTACAAATGTACCATATTTCCTCATGCAATCAATTTCATTGTATTTATATGTCTCTGCCTAAGGGAACAAACATTTAACTTCAAAAGGGGGGGGGGCTTCTGCTTCTGCCAGATAATGGCACAATCAACGAACTGATTATACTGCCATGGTTGCGCATATAAGACCACCCCCCTCCCCCCATTGGTATCATGGTTTTTTACTAAAAAAAATATTCTGATCCCCAATTTGATGAAAAAAATAATCTGGTCAAGCAGACGACAAAAAACATTTATTCTGAATCCAGATTTCTCCATACCTTGTTATACTGTTAAATATTGAAATAACTAATTTGATTGATAGCGTTAAAATTTTCTGACTTAGACAAAATAAAACATAAACCCCCTTTGAAGTAAATGGTTGCTCTCTCTTAGTCTTAGAGTTATGAAGTTCGGCAGCTAGTTCAGTAATTACAGTATAATGAGTATTGACTATTGTGTGCAAAGTTTCATAACATTCCGTGAGATCACACATTTACGTACCTATTAATCAACTTTAAATAAATAGTTTATTTTTACACAGGTCTTCTTAAAATTTTGCAGAACATGGGCTGCAGTTTATTTTCGTTCCACATGGTACATGCACGTATGAACTGAAACCTGTTTCAACTCCCACTCCTCAGCTTCAATACGTTGGTATAATTTACGAATTGTTTTTGCGATACGAAACAAGCTGCTGTTGAGACCTTATCGGAAACCGAGAGAAACAGTCTACATACAACAAGCAAATTAGTACAGACTTTCCCTGGCGGAGACAACCGTTTTAATAGAACGAAATCAAAAATAAATAATACTAGGCAGTGAGAATGGGATTCTCGAAATATGATAAGTTTAAAAGAGGGGCGAAAGATACCAGGATGACAGTCAAACTCATCATGAGATCCACGAAAATAAACTGACAATGCCATGGCTAAAAAAAGAAAAAGACAAACAGATATAACAGAAGAAAGTTTATCATGCTATCAGAGACGTACCTATATGTCTCTGATGCTATGTAAATGAAACCGAGGTTAGACTCTCATCCAACATCTAACAGTCAACATAATTATATTTGTCCCTCCAAACTAAAGTTCTTCTGCGGAAACTTTTTTATAATGAATCATAATATCTGTACATGTAGGGATAACTGAATATTCTATATCCTTTGTTCGGTTAGGAAAAAGATATTTAATATAAATTCTTCAAATTAAAGTAATATTCCTGGGTAGGCCTATATGATCTATTGGCAGCGCCGAGTTCATTGGTGACGATCCTGCAGTGAAACCTCTCTGTCTTTTATTTTGTGTTTCTAATACTTTGTTGTTCGTACGCTCTTTACTATATGATGACTGTTTCAATTATTTTGCCAATGACTGGTAGCACTGTAATTCCTCTATAGTTGGAAGCTTGCTGTCTTCTTCCTTTATTTTAAAAACTGGTGTTAGAAGTCCCATTTTTAGCAATGCTGATACACTTCCGTGCTTGAAGATACATCCCACGAGTGTGACTAACGATGTTGCTATGTCAGATCCTGCATGGGTAATATGTTCGATGGTTATGCCCTGGAAATCCGCAGATTTACCTCTGTTTATTGATCTGATGGCGTTTGTAATTTCGTTGTGCGTGACGTTTCTGATGTTATAACGTTGTTCAAGTCTGTTTATACTCTGAATATCATTTTCAACTTGGTTATGATGTGCGCTATATATGTCTGTCTGGTTGTTAAATGTTGCGAGGCTTCTAAAGTGTTCCTCAAATCCAGTAATGATATTTTTACTCTCCATGTTTTTGACTCCGTTAACCTCTAGCTCCGTGATTACAACATTTCCTTTCTTTCTATTGTTACGTACGAGTTTATGGAACATTTCTGTATCCTTTACTCTTGTTTCTAGAATATTTTCCTCTCCTTATCTCTTATTTTAGCAATCTCTATTCTTATTGACCGACGAAAGTCCTACTTTGTTTGATTTTTCTCCTGGAGCATTACGTTACTTTTGTTGTTGGGTCTCCCGTGATGTTTCCAAACGTTATATTTTTGCCTTGCAATTTTGAATGCTACTTGTATTTCGGGCGTCCATACTTTTAATTTTGGCTTTGCATTGAATTTTGTCTTTGATGATGATGTTAGGTTAGCTGTTTCCCTTAGTTCGCATAATTTGGATGTGGCTTGCTCAATTTCTGTTTCTTCCATATTTTCTCTTATTTGGAGGCCGAAATGGCTTTAAGTGGGATCCCGTTTGTGGGGGTGGTTTAAATGCTAAGGGGGAAATGATATATCAAGAAAGAATTTTGATAAACTGGCATTGCCGAAATGGCTTTAAGTGGGATCCCGTTTGTGGGGGGTGGGGTGTAAATGCTAAGGGGGAAATGATATATCAAGAAAGAATTTTGATAAACTGGCATTGCCGAAATGGCTTTAAGTGGGATCCCGTTCGTGTGTGTGGGGTGGGGGGGATGAAGATGCTAGAGGGAAATGATGTATCATGAAAGAATGTTCATAAACATTGCCGAAATCATCTTTTAGCGGGATCCCGTTTGTGGGTTATGTACATACTAGGTGGAAATGCTGTATCAGGAAAGAATTTTGGTAAACATTGCGGACATGGCTTTGAGAGGGATCCCGTTTGTGGGGTTGATATGTATGCTGGGGAAACAAGATACACACTTGTAACATCAGGTTATATGTTTCGGTAACAATTATAAGATATTGGGTTTTAGCAGAAGCTAGTCCATTACTAGAGGATGTGCATTTAATGGATGGGAATCCAGATCATAGTCCTATCACATCCAAGACGGCAGTTTAATCCAAGTAAACATAAACCAATTGGTAAAGTCCCAACTCTCAGTTTATTTAATAGAGTCCAAATAAAGAAATGAGACGGTATTAAAAATCAGTAATTTTAAACCAAAAACAATATTACAAACTTTGTTGTTATCAACGTTATTTGGTTTTTAAACTCGGAAAGTTCAATCATTATTCGGGGACTCTTTTTGGTATTGCCAACGAGAGTACTAAACTGCGTTCGGATTTTCCAACGAAGCAGATGTGTCTTTTTGTCATCAGAAAGGGGGGGAAAACGGATTGATTCCGGTCATGAAACAGAATTATTTACACGCGTATTTATCAAAAGTTAAGATTATTGATCAAATAGTAATATTGAATAACCGTTAATATTGAGCATAAATATTGACAAATATAAATTCATAATCTAACATGTTTCAGGTGTAATCAAATATTTCGGACATTTCAAATACATAGTGAATTTCGAGATCATTATGATTACTTAAAAAAGTTATATATGCCTGGTGCACCCCAAATGTACACGCTAATAAACTGTAAAAAATCAAAATAATAAGATAGTTTTGAATATAAAGTTTAGCTCAAAAATAAATTGTCACACCTCTTCAAAACGATAAAACTTTTCGGAGCATGAAGCGTTTTCGAAATAAAACATTAACACGATTCTTCGTGAATATTTCTTTCCCCAAAAAATATAAAAATAAAATAGAATGACAATTTTTAACCCATTGAAGGAAATTTTAACACACACCCACATATGAACTTCTTTTATTTTCTTTAAAGAAAACAACAACAAAAACAAAAACAATCGATTAAAAACAAATCTTTCCCAAACCCTCATAAAACATTAATCGCCTGATTTTGAGAAAAAAAGATTCGCTTGAATAGTTGAAAGCTGCAAAAAAGGTCCGTGGATTTTAGAATCTGCTTAGCCAGTAAAACTGCAAAAAAGCGATCGCCCATCAAATCCCGACAACCACAAACTCTTCAACTTCCTTAAAAGTATTAATTTTTAGATCCGGGATGAAAGAAATAACAACCCTTTATGTGTTAATGGCCCAGGAACACAGTTATTTCGTAGTGCATTTCTTTTAGACAATAAATTCAAATTAAAAACAATCGCACCTGCTCTATCTCAAAAAGATTTTTACAGTGCAGTGTACTACTATTGGGACAAATAATATCAAAATTATAGGAAAGTCTACCAGCTCTAACTCAAAATATGGACAATTCTATGTTAAGGGGGTCTAAAATTCAGTTTGACAGCTTCAGACATACTAATTTTTGACCTTTTTTAACTGGACCTAATCCGAGTCATTACTTAACATAAAAATGCAGCACCCAAATTTTTTAAACATGTAATTTCATCCCCTTACTTAATATTTCATGCACAAAATATCAAGAAATAAATAGGGAAAGTGTATGAAAAAAGTTTGCAAGTTATACACTGTTCACACTAGGGACTATATTCGTTCGTAACGCATACAAATTTAATGTATCTTCTTCTTCAGTTACAGAAAACCATCAACGTACTGATGTTTACTTTCCAGACAGGATAGAGGGGTAAAAAAAACCTACGACACCTATAAATGGCAAAGAAATGAATATAATAGGTTTATTTCTCTGTGTATATATATAGTTATAATTTGAGAGCGCTGTAACTCACCATTTACTCAAGTCCATATCATGTCCAGGTGTATCTGCAATAGTAATACAATGTCAATTATGATTAATGATCACTGCTTATAAGTCAGACATAAAATGCATTTTTGACCTAATGAATAAGCGCAATGTAACATTAAAAAAAGACCATGCACATGTTAATGAACGATTCAACAACAGAGAGGTATGTCCAAGACACGATGTAGTTTCGATATCGACGATATCGATAAATCGTGTTTCACATTCTAACTGCTACAGTTATCTATATATATATAGACAATTTAGTTTTTCCTGGTTCGTCTGTTTAAGATGTCGTCGTCGATATTGTCGATATCAACATATTGTGTTCCGAATGCCTATCTGCTTCAGTTATCCACATAGACAATTTCGTTTCTGCTGGTTCGTCTGCTTAAGATGTCGCATGATATCGACGACATCGAGTCATATCGAAAAATTATGGTCCAATTGTGTATCGACGATATCGACAGGTGGAGTAGCCTTGGACATGTATGACTGTCACGGAATAGAAGTTCCTTCATAATATAAGTTCCAAATGGAAACAATATTCTGGAATATTATTTCCACTGGAATAAATATTACAGTAAATGTTCCTAACGGAATAAATGGTATAGAATATTTGTTCCAACAGGAACAGATATTATGACATTGTTTATAACAATGTTTCCAGTGGAACTTCTGTTAGGCGGAACAAATATACGATGACATGACAACAGAAAGTTATTCAGCCATGAAATGTAAGTCACGGCCGTCCCGACCATGTTGACTATGAACTGTTATACAAACTATTGCAGTGGCAATGGTATGCCAATGATACCATCAGGTTTTGGTTAAATGGACAAACACAAACGCAAAACTTAACTTCAGCAAACGGCCGACGCGGCTATGCTTAAGCTTAATCATACTTAACGGACCATTGCAAAATCAACACTTTATGCCAAACAGACAACGGTCATGTCTGTCCCCGATTCTTTAAGGTTCACAATACGACAAAAATCAATTCAGACTATGCGAAGATGTCACTTAAAAGCAATTATTTTGAAAAAAAACTTATTAACTCAATATTGGATATTTGTTTGTAGGTTTTTTTAGGGGTATATATTTGTATATTAGCATTATATTATGTCTTGTTTTACTTGCATATTTGTTTTTAAGAGGTCAGACGAACAATCTAACTATGCCTTACCTGGATCATTTGCATAAAAAGTAAACGAATAGATTTTCAATAAAATCTCCTGGTAGCCATACTTTTCATCAATATTAGTAAAACTGATCTGTAAGAAAACGAGACAAAAATGTAAGTAATAAACTATGCATGTCTAATAAGTTATACTTGCTTTATCATACCACATCTTCTTATTTATATATTGCTTTATCTAAGAGCACGGTTTGGCTAATGCTGTCAAATTATGACGTTCTTTGATAATCGATGTGAAACTAGATGCTTCTGTCCGTCATAAGTGCTAAATAATAGAGATAGAAGGTACACTAAGATATCAATCATAAACCAAAAATCATGGAAAATACAATACCATAGCCAAATAAGAAAACATTATTTACAGATAACTTACAGGTTGTGCTATAGAGTTATGGTAACAAAGAAAAAGACTGCCGCGGGGCCCCCAAACTAGACACAATTGGGCTGATATATATCAAAAGTCTGGATTAAGCATAAATGAAGCTCCATAAGGGGGCGGCCCGGATTAAAGATCTATGTCTGATCAAAAATATACGGCACAAGGATATAGTAAAATTCAAATGTTGAAGTTAAATAACAATACTATGACATGTAAATTATGAAAAAAATATTCAAAGTCAATGAACCATGACTGAAGATACACGACCAAACAATCTCCACTGAAATGAGATGTGCGAATGCATACCAAATATCATTGGCCTACCACTAGTGGTTCCCTTATTAGCTGACCTAATCACAAACTAATACATGTACTTCAGTACATATTTTTTATTTTACCAGTCCTGAGAGTTTTTGGCGTTATGTTTTATAATTCGTTTAAACGTTCAACTTTCAAATCTCAGTATTTGATTTTTAATATATTGTGCATTTGATTGCCAACATTTATTTATCTCAACTTTCATTTTTCAATATTCAACATTCGATTTCAATATTCAACATTCGATTTCAATATTCAACATTCGAATTTTACAGTCAAAATTCGATTTAAGTTTTCAACATTTGATTTCAACAGACTATTGATGGATTGAAGGATGACAAATGTCGTCTGCTGTTGTCTTTTGTGACAGAGCTGCAACTCTCCGCTTACCTTCTGCTGCATCCATCTGTACTGCAGAAGCTAAGGCGATAATTCTGTTTCACAGTTTATTGCTACTTCTGACAAATCAAAGTTTGTTCCAATTCTAATTCGCTATCATGTCTTCAACCAATACACACTTATAATTCGCTATCATGTCTTCAAGCAATACAAAATTCTAATTCACTATCATGACTTCAAGCAATACAAAATTCTAATTCGCTATCATGTCTTCAAGTAATACAAAATTCTAATTCGCTATCATGTCTTCAAGCAATACAAAATTCTAATTCGCTATCATGTCTTCAAGCAATACAAAATTCTAATTCGCTATCATGTCTTCAAGCAATACAAAATTCTAATTCGCTATCATGTCTTCAAGCAATACAAAATACCAAAATTAATAACCCGTTAATTCTAAAAACCCTTTACGTAATGAGAAATTTTAAAATTCTCGATAAAGAAACTTATATTTATATTGGTGCCAAGTTATTGACGGAAACACAGTCGTAGATCAGGAAGCAGAGAATGCCCTGAACGACCTAATATCTAAATGTGAAATACCATATACTGATTTTAAATATAATATAAGAGAATAACAATAAATTTCATGAAATTAAAACCAACTTTATGCAAACCTTTTACAGCTCTTTTCATAATGCTAGCAAGACAAAGGTTTGTTTGGCTTGCTTGCTTTGTTTGTATCAATGTTTGCTCAAGCATTGTAATTAAGATTGACATCTGAAAACAACATAAAAAGGCGGATTTAAACTTGAATACATTATATTTAAATTTGATTGGACATTATCAAATAATCAAATTTACCTATACACAGGTTTAACTCCGCCTACTTATATTGTTTGCAGATGTCAATCTTAAGTACAATGATTGAGCAAATATTTATACAAACAAAGCAAGCAAGTCAAACAAACATTTGTCTTGCTAGCATTATGAAAAGAGCTGTAACGAATTTATAAGCAGGAGAGATCGGTGTGTTATATCTAGATGTCGTATTGGTCATGCTAGAATAGCAAAAGAGTATTTTTTAAAGAACGAAATTCTACCAGTATGTATATCTTGCGATTGCAAGTATACAATAAAACATATTTTACTTGCATGGATGTATAGACTTTTCCGATATCCGGGAAAAAACCTATTTTAATGTAAATAATATGTATGATGATTTATTTAATAATATTCCTGTTGAAACAATTGTTTCATTTTAAACGAAATTTTTGAATACATTCCAAAATTTGAATTTGTTGTTTTAGTTTAAAATGATTTAGATTTTTTATCATGTTATCCTTTATGATATATATTTATCTGCTAATAAGTATTTTCGTTTTAAACTGAAGTTTTAGTAAATTGAAAGCCTTCTTGTGAAAAAAAACCGTCTTGTTATAATAATTAAAATAGCTCTCGCCGCCGATATAGCCTTTTTGTGTTGATGTGGCGTAAAGCAATCAATCAAGATAGGAATAATTTCAAAAATATTTTGATTTTTAATTATTTTCAATTATTTCGGTATCGAGTATCAATGAAGAGACATGAATTGTCTAAAAAAGGATTTGGTGCAATAATGCGTGAGTGAATATATTTTGAAATAAATTAATGTGCTTGTGTTAAGTTTGTTTATCTTTTTTTCGTTGTGCATTGATTGTGGAATCACTAAAAAGAATGTTATTGTTTCTTGCAAACAAGAATTCATTCATTTCGAAAATATTTTGATTTTCAATTATTTCGGTATCGGGCATAACCTTTCTCAGCTCACTGGATGCATCAAAATATGCTAACAGGTGTTAATGAAATTGACAACTTTATGGAAAGTGGAAGGCACTCGAAGGGGATTTTAGTTTAGCAAAAAAGGAAAATTTATTTTTTAATCATTAGAGAAACAGATTCTTACATAGTAACTCGTGGATTATCGTATATATCCAATCTCGATAGTTAAATTATAAATTTTAAAGTCCTCGCCGAGGCGAAAATATATCTATAATGTTCCTCTTTAAACAACAAAACAGCATATTTGAGCTTATGAAGAATTGTACAACTAAAATAAAGATGCACATGAGACAATTTAAAAGAAATGAAACAGCGAAAGACTCTTCTCATTTTATTCATCATATTGGGAAATCCTTAGATAAAGGAACAATTTCTTAACTGAGAGAATTGCTTGTTAGGGAAGATACATTTCAAACTTTAAATATTCATGTTGTGGATTTTTTTTCTTTGTTAAGATATACATGGTGGTTTTTTTTTAAAGTAAAAGCAAAATTCACTCTTTTTAATTTAAAAGACTTTAAGTCATAATGCACAAAACATCTTCAACCCTTGACATGTACATTATCTAATGGATAGTCTTTTATCTTAAGGGGTTATCTCTCGATGATAGTTGGTTTTGTTCACATCCTGTTTAACGATCGAAAATCTCTGCATACCGTCAAAGCTTAAAAGGTTCATTAAAAATTGTTTGGAACCATCCAACTGATGGGGGATATTTACTCGTATGAGTTTTTACATCTAAATTATAAAGTTCGTCACTACATCCATTATTTCTACCGAGTATATCAATTCTGTAGGTCACATTCGAGCTGAATAGGAGGGGATTATAAAATGAAAATCATTTAGTATAGAGAATGAAATACAATTTTTTTACGAATACCATTTTTATTTTCAGCTTTTAGTCATATCGAAATATGTGAGACTATTCCTCTGAAAAAAAATATTGCACTTTTCTTGAATATGTCCCATTCCAAATCAGATCACTGCAGTTTTTGTTTGAAAATAATTGAAAGATATTTGCAAGTTTTGAATTATAAAAATTTTAAAATTATGAATATAGCACGTTATTTTTAAAGAAATAGCAAGGAAACAAAGCCACAATAACGTCCGAAAAAACTTTTTTTCAACAATTTAATCATTAAATTGGTCTTTAAGGTTCATAATATGCTAATAAATGTTCATGTCGAAGTAATTTATGCAATATTCCTAATGGGAAATGTGTAGCCTACGTCACTATCACAGCATCAGGACGACAAAAACAATAACTGCATGCCTATTTTATATGTCAAGCTATTACAAATCACAGCGCGTGTAGAAAAAATGTGAATAAAATTAAGAGACTACCGAAATCACATAAACAGTGAAGTTTCTTTTGAATTGAGTTTTACCGTGCGTATTGCACATGTGTTTGTTTATTGCGTAAACCCCTGAGGGTTTACGCAGTATATATTGGACGATGTCCGTAGTCTTTCGGAACACCGGATGTTATTCGGAATACATCTGTTTCTTTCTATGGCCACCTTTCATATACATGCGCAATAGCTTATTATTTGACCTGTTGAATCATTAGCATCTTAAAGTTGCTATAGAGATATGTTACATATGATGCGAAATTTATTATGACGCAAGCTACTTTAGTAAGCATTTGAATACTCCCTTGCACGCAATTACAAGCTGCTAATATTTACCTTACATGTACGCGTAGTTATTCTAATTAGAGTCAAACGTTGAAACCAGCTGTGTTTAGATATGAGTTAAGATTTCACGTAAACAATGCGATTTATATTCGAAACGAGATTTGTTAAAACTAAAATCTATAAAAGAAGTATTACTAGCATTTCACTTAAGATTCCGAGTCTAGGAAAAATGTACATAATGTACGAAGCAGGCTATTTCATAATTTTCATACCTCAACGTCCTTGTGGGACTAACTAAAGGACAATACTGAAATTAAAATGAAGTCTTTCTAGCACTTTATTGAAATTTTACGTCTAGGATAGACCAAGGACGTATATAATCTAAATTGATATACGTCCTTGAATAGTTTTTATTTTCTTTAAAATTGCAATTTTCTTTGTTTAAATATTTTTTATTTCCTTATCAAATGCCTATTAATTAATAGACACCGAGTGATGACAGATGCAGGCAGAGATAAGAAAAAATAATTTCTATTTATAGTTATCTTGGTCAGGGAACACATTATCTAACTATAAGTTCGG